TACAAATGGCAAATAAATACATGAAGAAATGCTTACCATCACTGATCATTTGAGAAATGCAAATTAAAAAGCATTGAGATTTCATCTCACATCGGAAAGAATAGCTGCCATCAAGAAAACAAATGTTGGCGAGGCTGTGGGGGGAAAAAGGAACACTTCTCCACTGTTGGTGGGAGTTTAGACTGGTGCAGCCACTGTGGAAATCAGTATGGAGATTTCTCAGAAGACTAGGATTAGAAGTTCCATTCAACCCAGCTATTCCCGTCTGGGTGTTTTCCCAGAAAAAGTGAAAAGGTCATGTCACAGTGATATATGTGCACCTATGTTCATAGCAGCACAATTTATAGTAGCTAAATCTTGGAAACAACCAAAATGCCCATCAACTGCAGAGTGGATGCAAAAGATGTGGTATTTTTATACAATGGAGTTTTATTCAGCTATAAAAAGGATGATCTTGAGGCCTTCATATGTAAATGGAGGCAACTTGAGACTATCCTCATTAGTGAAATAAATAATCATATTTATAAATATCACATTGTGTCTCTAGTGTAAAAAGTAATAAGAAGTATAGGAGTAATAAAACCCAAAATGTGTAATTGCTATTGTAAAAAAGAGAGGAAAAGAAAATTCTCCAAAGGATATAACTGCATGTATGTTTAAGTGTGTAAGATAGATGACCATATTACTAAGTTTTTGTTGAATCATTCATTAGAACTGTCTTCAGTCTCACTGCTTGAATGTCCACTTTGTATGCTTTAATTTTGTAACTTGAACAACTATTTCTAAGATGACAGTATGTAATTTCTTAGTGTTATATTTTTCTTTTTTTCCTTTGGAATTCTGTATTGTTACTACCTTTTTTTTCTGTTTTGCTTTCTTTCTCTTTAAACAAAATTTAAAAAAAACAAAGAATATAGGCATGATGGTACATACCCATATTCTCAACAAGCTGGGAGGCAGGAGGATGGCAAGTTTGAAGCCAGCCTGGCAAACTTAGGATTTAATGAGACTCTCTCAAAATAAAAGTAACAATTTCTGGGGGGATGTATGTCAGTGAGAAGACCTTGGACTCAATCCCCAGTACCACCACCACAAAAAAGTTTCAAGTTTATCCTTATTTATGGCTGTGTATTACACCACTGTATAAAATCATCACATATTTTTCTACAAATGGAATACTATATAGCCATAAAGAAGAATAAATGTGAGACTTTTATAGGTATATGGATGCAATTTGAGAACATATTTATTAGTGAAATAAATAAGACACATGTGTATAAACATCATATTGTTTCATTATTGTTTTGAATCTGAAAGAAAAAATATGTATATGTGTATGTATGTATATGTATATATGTATATGTATATAAAAATAGTTAAGATGGTTATACTAAGGAGTTCACTGAAAAGAAATCTTTGTGCTGGTGCTGTTTGGACAATTGAATGCAGATGTCTTGTGCTCTGGGTGAATGATTTGATGATGACAATGTGCATGTACCATTGCTGTCCTGATGATGTGTTTTGACATTTTTGTCGTTTTTTTCCTTCTTCTTTTTCTTTTTATCTTTGAAATAAAATGGATTTGGAAAGAAAATGAAGTGAGCCTAAAAACAATGTATATGAAAGTATTTTAGGGAAAGTTTGCTAGGATGGGAAAATATATCCTAGTCCCAACAAAGTAAATGGTACAAAGGAAGAAAAACTCAGGAGCCATGAATTGCCACCACCTTCACCACACACGTCAGGAAAATCCAGTCACCAGTCGGTATGTCTCAAAAGGGTTACTAGAACTTCCTTTTGTTCTCTGTCACAAGATCTTCCTGCCCATTTTTTTTTTTTTTTTTTTTTTTTTTGTCTTTTTTCCTTTTTATCGGTACCGGGGATCGAACTCACAACTGCCTGCTTGCAAGGCAGGCGCTTATGCTGCTGAGCTAAATCCCCAGCCCCCTTCCTGCCCATCTTAGGGAGCTGAGGATTACAAGTAACCCCGTAGTTCTCTACATTGGCTTCATTTGCCCCTCTGTTCTCATTTTTGGTTTAATTTCACAACTAAAATAGAATGCAAAACAATTTGAAGATCCTCACAGGACGCACTTAACTGCCTTTGGGAGGCCCTGTGCTCCTTGATTGGTAGCAGCAGTGACCCTCAGGATGTCAGCCTCTCCTGACACCTCAGCTGTGAGTGTGAGAATGGCTAACTCCTCACTCTGCAAGTCATGGTGGGAACACCTGTGTCATCTCCTTTAATCCTCATCACGAGAGGACCTGCTTCTGTACGGATGAGGTGCCCCCGAGAGGCCAGAAGTAACCTGCCCACCTCACATTGATGGAAATGGGCGTTGGCGTTTGACCCTGGTGTTGGCTCCCGAGCCATCCTGTAATGTGTAACACACCCTGTGCTGGATAACACACCAGGTGTAGTGACACCAGCAAGACCAACACATCGGAGCATTTGCTTGGCACTTTCCATTAGTGTTAGAATGTTTTAGCTCAGAAGTTGCCAAGTATAGACACTGTTTGACCTGTGCTACATGTTTAAAGTTGGGAAACTTTTGGCAGAGAACCCTCTATGGCAGTGATGGCAAAGCTTTTAGAGCTTTCAGTGATAACAGCCTCTGTGGCTCGCACTCCATATGTTCACCACCTTTGCTCTATGATCTCACTCTGGCATTAGCTAAAAGTAATAATGGATTCACTCGTTTGTATTCCCTCTCTGCCCCTGAAAGTATTTTAGCCTGTTCTGTGCCACTCAGCCCCATTTCTTAATGTCTCAGAACCACATGACACATTTTTCCAATAAAGGAGTCATATTAATTACGTTATATGCTGTATGGGCATCGTGGAACTAGTGAAAAGCAACATTTCTTCACTGCATAATGAGGAAGTATTTGTCTTTGCTTACGTGGAATGGTTTCAGTGAATTGTGTGTCTGACCGTTGCTATTAGTTACCTGCAATGTAAAACTTAAGTAGAGAAGCAAGCTAGTCTGAAGAGTTGTTTTCCTGCCATAAAACCAGGGTCACTCAGTACTTTCCTAGCCCACGCATCGGCAGTGGTTTGATCCTGGGCACCACCTGGTCTGTCACACAGTCATCATGACAGCCCTCTGTGGTCACACAGGACAATTTAGTGTGTGTTAGAATATTTATTGAAGACTAACATGAGGAGCTGTATTAGCATACAGGGCACATGCAAATGGAGCAGTTATTCCTTGTCTTGGTTACTTTTTACTTGTCGCTGAGACAAAATACCTGATGCACCAAATTGGGAAAGGAAAGGTTTATTTCTTACAGTTTTTGGAGGTTTCAGTCCATACTCAGTTGGCTCCAAGGCAGGATGGCATGGTAGGGCCGCAGTTCATGGCAGCTGCAAACAGCCAGGCAAAAATCGGCAAAAGAGCAAGACACACCTTTTTCCTGCCATTACATTACATCCTGGCTCCACCTCTATGTGGGTGGAGCACTGACACCATCAATCCAAGCACTAGACAATGAACCAATCACAAATGCACAATGCAAATACATGAGGCCTGGGGGCCACCAACATAAACCATGACATTCCCACTTTACAAATCAATAGAAGAGGACCCCAAAAGAATATGTAAGAATGGATAATGCTGGGCCTTGAATCTAACTCCAATGCCTATTTCCCCCCTCCATACTGGGGATTGAGCCTAGGGACTTTGCACTGAGATACATCCCCAGCCATCTTTTTTGTTTTTTATTTTGAGATTAGGTCTTGCTAAATTGCCCAGGTTGGGCTCAAAGTTGTGATCCTCTGCTTTTGCCTCCCAGAGTGCTGGGGTGACAGGTGAGTACTGCCACAGCAAGCTCTAGTGCCTTTTCTGTTATGTTGCAACTTCTTTCCTGCAGATTTGTAACGTGCCTTCTGCACTAATTTATAGGCTGTTGGTGTTTAGGTGCAATGAAGTTTCTAAAGACTTAAGTAATAACGAAAGGGCTACATAAAATAAGTCAGTGATTGTCTCAGGCTGTTTCAAGGAAGAAGAAAAGAGTAAAAAGAAATACAACTTCATGGTTTCCAACATGAATCATCTGAATTCAATTCTCTAGGAGTCGGATATGGATATATGTTTTATTTTGTTGTTGTTTGAGACAGGGCCCTACTGTGTAGTTCAGGCTCCTCTTGGACTCCCCATGTAGCTCAGGCTGCCTCATTCACAGCAATCTTTCTGATTCAGCCTCCCAAGTGCTAGGATTATTGGCATGTACCACCATGCCTGGGTGGAGACAGGTTTTAAAAGTAGTTGAAAGCCAGGGATGATGATGCATGCCTGCAATCCCAGCTGTTCAAGAGGCTGTGGTAGGAGGATCATGAGTTGAAGGCCAGCCTGAGCAACTTAGGTAAAGCGTGTCTCCCAGTAAAACATGAAGAGGCTGGGGGTGTAGCTCTGCTGGTACAGCACGCTTGGGTTCATCCTAGCACTACCTCCCCAACAAAAGAGCAGAGGAAGTGATTTTAATTAAACTTGACTGATATTTGGGACTCATGGATAATGATAATGACTCAGAGTCTGAGATAAGGTACTTGGTATCTCTCTCAGCACAGTATCTTTTTGTTTTTAAATGAAAAGCTTTTCTCTGCTCAGATACCAAGTGAAAACTGGGGCCAGGATTACAGGGCCCAGCATTTTGACCATTTGAAATCTGATTTTCAATACACAGTCTTAACAGGAGCACTCAGTGCACGTCTCCATGTGTTAACTGATCCCTGGGTTCCGTCCTAAGGCAGCCTGCCTCAAGAATGGTCAGAGGGCCAGCTTTACTGAGACCCTTTGACACTATCTCCATCCTTACCTGTCTTAGCTCCTCTTGGGTTAAACATCAGGAGCCATTGCTGTTTCCATAAGCAATTTCTTTGCTGAAATAAATAATAGCAATACTGAAAAAAAGGCCTGAATTTGCACTGTGATTATAGCTGCTGAAGCGTGCATTTCAACTGAAAATCAGTCTAATCCTCTTCCATCTTTTTGTCCTCAGTGCCACCTGGGATTGAAAGCTCAGCCTGGACTCTGCTTTCTCAGCGCTGTGTGTGCTGATCACATGCATCTAGATGACAGTAGCTTGGGAGATTGGGACAGTGATGGCGAACCTTTACGAGCTTTTAGTGATACCAACAGCCTGCTGCAGCACGTGTGCCATCGGTTCACCATCAATGCTAGAGAAGAACCACATTCTCTAAGCCGCTAGTGCCAAGTGTCTGTTGATGTATCTGCCAGTTGAAAGGTGAGTTTTGTTCTTTTGGACAAAAGACAGAAATCTTCTCACGGTACCACCCTCCACAGCTGACCACTGAAAAATGAGTCAGACATCTACTCTGCTCACGACAGTAACACAGTCGTCAGAGGTTAATGATTGACCTGAGATGGCCAAACACGCCTGTGGGCTTATGTCTTTACATATATGATGATAAATGTGTGTAAACCTGAATGGATCTATATAAAAGTGATAGATCTTTTGTAGTTTTTGAAAATATATTTTCCAGGTAAAATAGACATTTGTTTTATCTGTATCACAAGTAAGAAAGGAAAGGGAATAATGCTTTATTTCACAGTGTACTGGTCAGATCAATTCTTTAAAGACATATTTTCTATGCCAATCAAATTCTACTTTGATTGTAATCGATCAGATTATATCCTGGGTATATTATTTATAAGGAAAATATTTCATTTATTTGGTGATCATATTTAACCTTATCAGCCTTCTCTGTAGTTGCTACTGATTTGTCACTTTTCTTAAATTTTTTTCTACTTATCAGAGATATGCTGATAATCACCAGTCAGCTAAGTATGTAATAACAAAGTCAAGAAACCATACTTTCATCAAGGATTGGTTTTTCTGTCCCATTATAATTCAGCCCATTCTGGCTTTCAAACTTTAAGTAGAAAGTAAAGAAACTAATAGCATTTAACTGTATTAAGTCCTGATATGAGGTCATGGGAGTGTTAATCTCCTTTCTCATGTTTGTCTTTCTATTTAGTTTTCCCATTACCACTCTGAATACTATTTCTAAATCCTAAGTATGTTTCTAGGAGTGTCTAGTATTTTTCTTGTTGAATTACCCAGGGAATGTTAGCATTGTACTTTAAGGTAGTTCTGCCTAGCCCAGTAATATAAAATTAATATTAGACCAAGATTTGAAGGATTAGTCCACATAGTACACACTTTTTGCCTAAATGTGGGTTGCAGACTCTTTCTAACTTGGAAGTTTTTCCTTGAAAATTTGTAATAAAAAGTTCCTGTTTAAGAGTTAAAAGTTTGTGCAATGGGGACAGCTTAGTGTGGAGTACTTGCTATCACGTACAATCCGATTCATATAACCACCTCCCTCCCAAAAAAGAGAAAAGTTTTACCACAGTTTTCTATTGAAGGGTCAAAAGATTTGCAACACAGGGATGACATTCTTGCGTGGAAGTACAATTGACTGAGAGTAAACAGCCGCTACTCGTTTTCAATGCCATGTACTCAACCTGTGTGTGACGGTGCACATCTGTAGTCCCAGATCTCTAGGCGGCTGAAGCAGAGAATCACAAGTTCAAGCCCAGCCTGGGCAACTAATAACTTAGTGAGACCTATCTTAAAATAAAACACTAAAGAAGGGCTGGGAATGTATCTAAGTGTAAAACATTCATCCTCTAGTACACACACATATATTCTAGGGTACTATATACCATATCATTACTCATTTCCCTTTAGTTCCCACGGTATTGAGTCAACAAACCCTCTAACTTTGTGTGACTTGGAATACTACTTTCTTTTTTCAGCGTTAAAAGTAAATGTATGAACTTTCTGACTTATTTTAAAATTGCATAACTTTTAATAAACTAATTTGCCAGATTTTCTCTTCTTCCTCTTCAATTCCATTTGTCATCAGTTTTATTACCAGACAATTTTGGAGAAAGAAAGGTAAACAAGTAGGAATAGCCTGTTTGACAACTTACGAAAGGCTGAGGTGTTTGGTTAAACTCAGGTCAAGCACTCTGGGGATTTTTGTACTTCTTCATTCTTTAAATGTATGTTGCTAAGAACAGAGTTGAGTTTATAAAAGTTTACAGGTATTATCCTGAGAATGCACAACTCCTTTAATCAGCAAATATGATAAGAGAGCTGGGAATAACCTCAGCGGCACAGAGCTGCCTGGTCAAGTGCAAGGTCGTGAGTTTGGTCCCCACTGCAGCCCCCTCCCCCCAAAAAAAGGTAAGAAAGCAAACTGAACAGTGTTAAAATCAGCAGAAGAAGGTGATATCTGAGTGACTCTGGGGCTAATTTTTTTGACAAAATTAAGAACATTTAATCATTCTCTAATTTATAATATACAAATTTGGATTTCCATGTGAAGTATGCTTCTGCAGGACGGTTTATTAGTTTCTCTTACTATAAAGAGCGCACGATGCTGGGAAGTTTATTTATTTTTTAAGAGTTTTAGTTTCTTGAGACAAGGTTTTGTTCTGTGGTCCAGATTGGCCTTGAATTAACAAATGGCAGTCCTCCTGCCTCAGCCTCCAAAGTACTGAGATTATGGGAGTGGGGCACCACACCCAGCTCTGGGTAGTTTGTTTTTAAAACAGAGGTTTATTTCACCCACTGTTCTGGAGGTTCACAGAAACGGCTCCAGCACTGGCTTCAGACAGTCCTTGTAGCTGCGTCACATGGTGGATGCACCATGGCGGGAGCATGTAGGAACAAATCAGAGAGAGCAATTCAGGTTGAGCTCTCTTTTATAATAAATAACATGCTCTCATGAGAACTAACTCAGGTTCCATGAGAACTTCCTTAATCACTTCCAAGAGCAGCACCACCAGTGATCTAACCAACTCCCCCCACCTTGGTGCCTCCACCGTGGGGGGGGGGGGGAATGGGGGTGCTACTTGGTGCCTCCACTGTGTGTGTGTGCTGGGGGGGGGGGATGGGGGTGCTAGGGATTGAACATGAGCCTTTATACTGATCTACGTCCCAGCCCTTTTTTATTTTATGTCTGAGACAAGGTCTTACTAAATTGCTAAGTTGCCCAACTGGGCTCAAATTTGTGACCTTCTTGCTTCAACCTCCCAAGGAACTGGAATTACAGGTGTGTGCAGCTGCATCTGGCAGCGTGTAGATGTTAATGTAGTCAATCTGAAGAGTAACCTACATGCATGCACTTCCTTCTTGGCCGTCAATGCTGTGGAATCAATTTGTAAAGGAAAGGATGCTCCAACAGTGCATACCCAGGACATCATGAAAATGAAACAGTTGTTACTGAGTGGCTGCTGCTATCTACTGTGTATCAGGCTGATATAAAAGGCAAACAGAGCATATCCCTTTATGAAATAGTTTATTATGCTAACAAGGCATCAGGAATCAGGATAGCCAGTGACTACAAACTTTTATATTATATTAGGCCATGAATCCTTTGTCAGGAAGTAATTTGCAAGTTTAAGTTTTAGGAAATACCTGTTTGTGTCTGTACATATCTTCCTACATGGCTCTCAAATTTTATGCAAGCTACAGTGGATAAGTGAACATCTTGTAGGCAATACAATATATTCATTCTTTCATCAAGAACACAGAATTGGAGAACCTAGTGGGTTTTGTAAGAAAGATCAGCTCCTAATAGAGCATGATTGAATTGTTTTTCATGAGAATATGGTGAGGAAGTAGATTCTTTCCAGTAGGCTGGCTAGAAATATCTTTTCACTGCAACAAATATTTACTCTAGTGGAATAAAGCAGTTGGATTCTTTCCTTGCCTGTTTTGTAAAGAGCACAGCCTTTACCAAAATAAGTATATTCATTGACAGCACTAGAGGAGCCTCAGATAGGTACAAATAATAGCTTAAAAATGTTAATGACTTTGTGTGAAGTGGAGAAACATGTATCATACACAGCACGGTGAGTTGAGCTCTCAAAGGCAGAACTGTTTGTAGACATTCCTACAACTTTCCTTTCCTCAAAGGTTGGACTTTATCTTCCTTTCCCTGTAACTCTCCACAACAGGAAATGCTTGCCATAAATCACCTTACAGTGCAGATACTATTCTTGATTGTACTTCACTGAAAACTCTTTTATTTTCTAGGCTTGAAGTCTTTAAGAGTAAGCGTAAATCAAGATAGCTTTGACTTCAACAAAGTCTGATTAATTTTTTAGAATTCTAGGGCAGTTTCAGAAGCAATTGAGGCCACAAGAATACTAGTCACTAAATGTATACTTTGGTTTCTTATCATAGAATATCTGGACTGAATCTCAGAGAAATTGTTAGCAATTTGCATGTGTATTCTTAGGAATTGTTCCCAAAAGAATAAAAATGAATTCGGAAGTATTTAAATACTCAAGTTTTATGTTTGTAGTAAAGTAGTTCAAATTCTATATGGATGAAGTACTAGTTGGTGAGCCAACTTTAAATGACATGACCATTCTCTTCCAATGTATTTGATAATCTTTCTAAAAAGGCATTTAAAACATATTAGTTACTTTGCCCTTTTTGCAAAGAATTAAGTGATGACTAAAGCATCACATTTAACATGGATATAGAAAATTTTCTTGTAACCATTATATAATTAACAACTAATTTTTAGATTAATTTCATATGGTGTGGATTATTTTCCAATGCTACTAAAAAGTGGAGATTCAGTTAGGGCTTTGTGGATGTGACTGAGTGATAGACTGCTTCACCGGCATTCTTGAGGCCCTGGGTTTAATCCCCAGTGATACACACCACACAAATACACAGCAAGAAAGGGGTCAGGAGAGGGCTACATGTTGGGAATTCATTTTTCAAAATAGTTTTCAATAGTCTGTCACCTTTCTTGCTTCTAGCATATAACATCTTTTTTTGGGACACCCTGAAGAATCAAGGTCTAATATTCTTATCCATAAAATAGAAATATTTATATCATGTAGTATCTTAGTTACTTTTTCCATTGCTGAGATAAAATGCACAACATCCATAAATTAAGGGAGGAAAGGATTATTTGACTCACAGTTTGTAAAGGTTTCAGTTCATAATTGCTGGCTCCAAGACAGAGTGACACATGGTAGAGGAGCAACAGTTCATGGCTGTGAAAGACAGCAAAGCAACAAGTGAGAGACAAAACTCTTTCTGTCTCTTACATTGTACGCAGGTTGTCCACTGTAGGGTGGATATAGCACTCACACATACCCTTAATCCCGGCATTGGCATTGGACTATGAATCAATCACAAACTCTAGATTCAGCTACCTCTGAAAAGCCTACTGCCCATGACTGTTT